ACCCGACCCGAGCCCGACGGGTCCCGAAATACTTTTGGGTTACGGGTCAGGTTCGGGTTAATGTTTAATGAATAGCTTTGGGTTCGGGTTTATAGCTAAACTTAAACTATATGCAGTAGGCTACGCTGCTTTCATAGATGCACACACACACACCTATTGCACACGACAACGACAACACAGCACGGAAACTTTTATTAGTAAAATGGCTTCGACAGGCTACTGACTTGCAACGTTATATTTCTCTGCAATGAGGGGGTAAATCGCTGTTTTTGAAGTAACTAAGCCTCATTGCTTGTAGAGAGAAACGCGCAGACACAGGTTCACACATGCAACTTTCAACTCTCTCTCTCACTAATTCAAATAAATGATATAATTAATTCATTCAAATAAATGCGATCTTACCGCACTGCATCTCTGTGTCTGATTTAAAGCAGGTCGAATGCTAACGATCCTTAACTGACCATAATTTGCACGATGGAAGAATTATCGTTTTGTCATATAGCCTACAACCATTCAAAAACTCGGCAGAATTTATGTGACCGCTGCACCTGATGTTCATAAACTTTCATAACTGGAAGGCTAAGTGTTTTTCCTTTTGCCTTGTGAACTGGCCGAGCCTTAATGATTATCTGACCGTTGCATGCAATCGTGAAATACAGCAATTTTTTTAATTGGCTATTCGTTGTGGGGGGGAAAAAAGATTTTGGGTTCAGGTTGGGTTTGGGCTCTAAATTTAACTGTGCCGCTCGGGTCGGGTCAGACGATCTCGGGTTCGGGCTTCAGTTTAAAGCCCGTGCAGACCTCTACTGCGCAGTGCCAAGCTGTGGAAAAACAGTCAGAGCAGTGAATGAACCTTATTTTTAATGAAGTTCCAGTGTTGCGAACTTGGTCCTTTGTTCACTTCATTTTACTACGGATTTGTTTACAAACAAGGCACAATTTTATGCTGGATTTTCAAAAAGATTGAAAATAAAAGAGGCTGCTGTGCAGGCTATTTTGGATCTGACAGTAATGTCGCAACACTCAAGTGTGAGTAACTGTTTTTGTTACATCAGTTTTGCTTTGTCTGTTAAACAGATCATTTGATATGAGTATCTGTGCGTTTTTAACCGAAATCACAGCAGCGTCCATCTGTGAAGGACATAGGCTGTCAAACATACACAAGTGTTAGCCACTCATAGCAGTGGGTGTTTACTTTCGAGTCTACAATCCGCCATTCCTATTCAAACAGAGCATTCTGATGAGGGGGGTTAAAACAGTACAGAATAGGGATGGGCAATATGGGCAAAAATTCATATCTCTGTATTTTTTGGCCGATTTGCTATATACGGTATATATCTCTGCATTTTTGTTTTTGTAATATTTAATATATATTTCACATACCACCCAATGTTGTCCAATGAAACAATACATATTAAAGGCTCTGAAAACAAATGAAGTGAATGTAACCATGTAAGCCTATATGATGTGCAAAAAAAGGGTTAACATTATAACATTGCAATCTAAAAACAAAAATAATGCTTTTAAAGCAGAAGTAAAATTTACTAAACTAAAAATTAAAATAGATAAAAACAAAAGCACAGACATGTATCAGGTTTGATTAGGCTACCCCATTACAGTCACTTTACAGTTAGTGCTATCATATAAATACACTTACTTGTAGGTTTAAAATTCTACATACGTCACATTTATTGTCCAACTACAAATATTTCAGCAAAACGTATATTTTAGTCAGAGTTATTGCGTTCATATTTCATTGAGCTCCGTCTGTTTGGCACACATGCGTGCGGCGGCACTCGTTCTAAATGAAGTCTGTGAAGTTTAGCGGAGAATCGCAAAGCAGAAGGCCCATGCACTTCTGACAGCAAAATGGAAATATTTCCATGACTTTCTAACATTTACAGATGGATAATATAACTGTGAAATGTAAGTTATGCATTAAGGAAAACAGCACATCTCAAACACATTAAAAGAGCGCGCGTCTCTGTCAGCAGCACACACAGCCTTTCTGTCAGAGCCGCTTTAAACTGAAACTATAAACTATCTTATGAGTTTTTTTTAAAGCCCTTAATATAAAGCTTGTCACATGTTTAGAACAAACTGGATTATGCACTTTCTCCGTAGCAGCTCAGTCTGTGTCCTCCGTTATATTTTTCAGATGCGCTCGTATCAAACTACTGTATATCAATATAAACGGTATTGCTTCATACCATATCGCTTATAAAGAATATATCAATATATCGTACAAACTCGATATACCGCCCAGCCCTAGTACAGAAAATAGACTATTACTTCTAAATTATGATGTTTTTGATGTAAAAATCTTGATAATTTTATAAGTGGACCTTAGATAACAGTACAAAATTAAAAAAACAAAGGCAGTTCATGACCCCTTTAAAGACTGGTTCCCTTTCAATTCATGAGCTGTAATTTTAATTTAATTGGCCACACCCACAAGAAGTTGAACTGGAATTTACTAAATTACAATTCAAAGTGAATCAGGCATTCTGGGAAATAATGAGTAATGAATTCCAAAGTTGATAAATTTGTTATATATAAAAATAGTACAAACCTATATAGGTGATATTTCAAACAATTCTATTTTTTTTTCTGTCTGTAAAGCCTATAAAACCTTCAAATGTCAAAACGTTTTACTTTTACACACTTGGTCAAGACAACATTCAAACTTTTCTACTTAAAAAAAAAACTTATTGCAATTTTATGTCAGATGTCCACGTTTGGCTCTTGCATCGCATCCCCATGTTTTTATTCAGCACCTTGCGCCATAATCGCTGCATTTTTAAAGTGCTGTCAAGTTAAAATGAGCACTTTTAAAAAGTTTTTCTCCTTCTCTCTCTCTCTAAAAAGGACATTTAAAACCCATGTGTTTTGTTCCATTCAGTTGTGCTCCATCTAGCTGTCTAAAAGGAAGAATGTGCCCTGCATGAATGTCCTGCAATCCAGCTCAGCCCACTGAGTGCTGACCTGGACTGAAAGTCACCATGAACAGTTCTGACACAAATTGCTGTCTGAAGAATCGGTCTGCAAGGTATCACAGAAAAACACAGCATAACTCATCACAAAAGTAAAAATTAGGTCCTGTTGACATGTACGTATAGCGGTTACTTGAGTTCAGCTGGTGTAAAATCTTTTAAAGTTGAAGATGTTGCATTATTTTCAAGGATCACGGCTGTCACTGCCAGTCACCACAATCAAGTACACTACACTTTGAATAGATTCATTATTTACTGTCGCTTTCCTATCAAATCACATTGTGCTTTTATTTCTCTGATCAAAATGGCTTTTGGGGCATTGAATGAAGTGCAAAGCTTGTCTTTTATTTGGCTAAAACTATTCCATTATCTAAATGCTTGTTCTACAAGTACATATTTGATGAAAAGGAAAACAGCAACTGTGACAGCCATCGTTGAAAACAGCACACATTTAACTCAGATAAACCCACACTTACGGCTCTCGACATGCTTTCAATTACAGAGGCCTCAATTATTGTATTGATTATAAAATGCTTGATGACAACTCGTTTGCAAATTCCCATTTGCATTTATGTAGCCACTAAAATGACACAAAATAAGGAATAAAAAGAGAGAGGGAAAGTGAGAGATGTGAGAGAAGGTGGCATCTGTTGGGGCTTTTAGATGGATATATCACACTAATCCATTCCTTTTACATGAGCCCCTGTCAGGGTTAATTGGTTTGTGAAGATGGGTAATGAAGGGAAATGGCAGTGTTTATTGTAGCGCCTCTCTCATTAAAAGAAGGCAGTTCGGCTGGCATGCTGATGACATTTGCGTACCCATCAGACACTGGGAGGAACACGTTATAAAATGATCAGCTTTATCCGGTGTCCTCTGATCTGAGCACAGTAACGCCGCATGACAGTGAGTTTCATAAACTATAATGAGGTTAAAGTCATAAGGTGGTTTACAAAGATCAACCATACCCAGGAGCATCATGGGAGGTCACAGATGGTAAAAGCAATAACATCCCAACTAACACAAACCTGTAAATGCAAATGCATAACACATTAAAGCTAAAGTCTTCCATTGGTCGCACAAACTGAAAGTCCCGCCCCAAACTCGCACTACTGGTTAAGCCGAAGAATTAAACATATCAGCTTCAAACATGAAATCATGGGCAACATATAAAGAAACCGCAGGCAATGGCCAATAAAAGTATGGACACGTCAATGAACACAGGAAGTGCTATTGTGCAGATGTTACCTCTCTCCTGCGTGATGCCCAGCACGTCTGTTTGACTTTCCAAACCACAGCAGCAACCAGCAGCAGGGACAGGAAACAGCTGGAGACAAGACACATGGAAAATCAATGGATCAGTCAATCAAATAAGATTCATGAGTTTGTAATTGCAATTGTGGATAACATTCCTCTGACCTTTGAGGCTGGACTGAGGACAGCTGTTACATATTTGTATTTCAATCATACAATCAATGATAAACAAGTTCATCCAGCATGAAAGAATCAATGCCATATGGTTACGTCAATCATTTACGCAATACCAAACAAACACATCTGCACCCCAACAGGTTTGATTTCCTCTCCCGCATATACACAGACTGCTCAATGGCTATTTTAAGCCATCTAGAAGATGTGTGATGTTAGAGAAAGTTGGCCTTGAGTAGGACTGGCTGCTGTAAAAGCACATATAAAAGCAGAAATCCCTCTTTGTGTTTTATCCGCAATTGACAGAATTCACTTGACAAGGTGACAAATGCATGGAGCTAAAATAAAGGGAAAAAGCATTTGGTGGTCGTACACAATCCATTTTGTTGTTGGTTTTTTCCATCGTAAGTTCACGGCCTGCACCTGCTGCTGCAGTATATGATAAAGCACTGGTGAACAAGTGTCAGAATGCTTGTCGCCAATGTGGGAGGACTGAGTGTCACTACTCAGAGACAAATTGTCACCAAAAAAAAGGAACATAATCACTTCTTGTCACAGTCTTCAGCGTGTGTGCCCAGGAGGGCCACCAGATGACTGTTCTGTCGGGAAAAGTCTGTGAGCCGGGACTTGAACTCGGGATGCCCGAAGCATAATGGCGCTATATGACAGCGCACTGCCCACAAGGCTATTGACGCAGACTAAAGTGCCAATAGGACTTCAACAATTGCTTTGGAATAATTGCAGAAAACAAGCTCTGTAACCAACAAAAGTTTATGATTCTCACATTTTGTCTTCATAAAGATAATCTTCACCCATTATCACAACTTTCATGAATTTTGAAGCCTAAATACAATTGCCAAAAGTAAAAAGCTAAAGTTATAAAGCTAAACAAAACTAAACAACTAAACTAAAATAAGATCAAATAAAATAAAATAATTTATTTATATCATTAGATGCTAGTGTAAAAATACTGGTGTATATTCTGTCATGTTTATTATGTAAATTATTATGTAAATTATTTTATTTATTTACTTTTACTAATTTAATGTCAACTTCACTTTTCACCTTTCATTCATTTAGTAGTTTAGTGATTTAGGTGCTGTAGAAATGTTTTACTCATGTTTCACTAAAATAATGCTATCCATGGTTCCCTATCTGTCGGTCACTTCGAGTTATGTTGTGACAACATTAGGGGTCTTACTTGGGACCCCAAAATCCTCTCGGATTAAGAGAAAACACCAATGAAATTTGGCTAGTGGATTTTGCATGCTGAGCCACTCCCCGTGCATACGGGTAGAAATAGGCGACAGGTGCATCCACTCATCAGATTTTTGCTTCTGAGCCGAGTGAATGAAGGAAACTCGACATTCACCAGGCGAATCCTCTCATGTGCTGAAAGAAGAGGCTGTTCTGGGTGGTGTTACGACACGTTCAGCGGCATCCCTGTTAACTCAGCGATTCCCCTGGGTGTTTCATCTAAAAGAGCAGTTTCTGATCATGGTCGGTTTGCATCTTTTTAAAGATGCCGCTCCGGCCGTGTCTTCTTGGGTGTGGTCGTTACCTGTCTTCAACTGACGGCTATGATCATTGTCTTCAGTGTCTGGGCATCCAGCATGCTGAGGATGTGTTCGTGGATGGTTCATTCGCTCACTGTGAGTGTATGTCCATGACAGCGCTGCGATCGCGCCTCTCTCTCCTCAAGGGGAGCGGAGGGGCACCTTCTGTCACCACCTGTGCCGGTTTCTCTGCCACGAGCAGAGGACCGCCGGCTGGTGCTTTGGGTGATCTGAGGGTTACAGTGAGAGCTTCTCCGCCGGGTCCGTCCCCACGGACCTCTCACTCCTCCCGCAGCGACTGTCCCGTGTGGTTTCCCCGTGATTCTTCTGAGCCGTCTCGCGGCGGTCTCAGCGTTTCATTCGGTGCGCTGCGGGAAGATCAGATGTCGACCACAGCATTGGGGGTTGGGATGTCATCATCCGAGGATGAAGATTCGGCGGGGCTGCCCTCCTTGGGTGATGTCACCACTGCCGAATCGGACCCTCTGGGCATCCAGCACGCTGAGGATGCGTTCGTGGATGGTTCATGCGCTATGTATGTCCATGACAGCGCTGCGATCATGCCTCTCTCTCCTCAAGGGGAGTGGAGGGGCACCTTCTGTCACCACCCATCTCGGTTGCACGAGCAGAGGACCGCTGGCTGGTGCTTTGGGTAATCTGAGGGTCACAGTGAGAGCCTCCCCGCCGGGGTCCATCCCTGCGGGCCTCTCACTCCTCCCGCAGCGACTGTCCCGTCCAGTTTCCCGGTGATTCGTCTGAGCCGTCTCGCGGAGGTCTCAGCGTTTCATTCGGCGGGCTGAGAGAAGATCAGATGTCATTCACAGCATCGGGGGATGGGCTGTCATCTTCCGAGGATTAAGATTCGGCGAGGCTGCCTCCCTCGGGTGTTGTCGCCACTGCCGAATCGGACCCGGAACTGATGACCATGCTTTCCCGGGCTGCCGTGAAAACGACCATGCCCCGCTCCGGTTCCTTTCGTCCCGGAGGTGCACAAAGAGCTGACAAAGTCATGGACCCGTCGCCGAGGATGCCGAGCTGCTCCATCCCGTGCTGAGACCACTAGCAGTTTCCTTTTCCTCCGGGCTGTGAGCGACACACTGCCTCCTCAGTCTCGCCCACACAGCCCCCTATCGCCAGCGGCCAAGAGATTGCGGTTCGGGGAAGTGACGCCTCCCCACGCATCTCCGGCCGGTCCCTCCCGGGACACAGGGAGTCCTGCTGTGATGAGCCAGAATGCGATGCTTTCTGGGCCATCCAGCACGACTTCCCACCGCTGCAGGCATGTCGATTGTTCCTTTGGTGCCACTCGCACGGAGCTTGGGAGCGCTGGCTCATTCGGACAGTACGACTCGGCTACGCGATTCAGTTCGCCAGGCGACCTCCCAGGTTCAGCGGTGTCCTCGAGACTTTGGTGGCAGTACGAGACTGTCCTGTGCGAGGAGATTGCTGTCCTTTTGACGGAGGATGCAATTGAGTCTGTCCCTCCAGCCGAGATGGAGTCGGGGTTTAACAGCCCTTACTTCATCGTGCCCAAGAAAGGCGGTGGCCTTCCACCAATTCTGGATCTGCGAGTTTTGAATCGGTCCCTTCACAAGCTCCCGTTTAAGATGCTAACTCAGAAGTGCATCGTCAGATGCATCCAGCCCCAGGATTGGTTTGCAGCGGTCGCCCTGAAGGACGCTTAATTTCATGTCTCGATCCTTCCTTGACAGAGGCCGTTCCTTCGGTTTGCATTCGAGGGTCAGGCATGGCATTACAGGGTCCTCCCCTTCAGGCTGTTCCTGTCCCCCCATGTCTTTATGAAGGTTGCGGAGGGCCCCGTTGCGGGAAGTGAGCATCAGGACCCTCAACTATCTCGACGACTGGCTCATCATGGCCCAGTCGCGAGAGCAGTTGTGCGATCACAGGGACCTGGTGCTCTGGCACCTCAGGCAGTTGGGGCTTCGGGTCAACTGGGAAAAGAGCAAGCTCTCCCCTGTGCAGAGAATCTCTTTTCTCGGTGTGGAGTTAGACTCTGTGAGTAGGATGGCGTGCCTCACCACCGAGCATGCCCAGTCAGTGCTGAACTGCCTGAGTTCATTCAGAGGCAGGACGGTGGTACCACTGAAACACTTTCAGAGGCTCCTGGGGCATATGGCATTTGCAGCCGCAGTCACGCCGCTCGGATTGCTTCATATGAGACCACTTCAGCACTGGTTACGCTCCCGAGTCCCGAGATGGGCATGGCACCGTGGTACACTTCGCGTGGCCATCAAGTCGATGTGTTGCCACACATTCAGCCACTGGATGGACCTTGCCTTTCTACGGGCCGGAATGCCCTTAGAACAAGTGTCCCGGCATGTCGTTGTCACGACGGATGCCTAAAGTACGGGTTAGGGCGCCACATGCAACGGTCAGGCAGCCTCGGGCCTCTGGACAGGGCCTCGACTGCTTTGGCATATCAACTGCCTGAACTTGTTGGCAGTGCATCTAGCCTTGCGGCAGTTCCGGCCACTGCTGCAAGACAAGCATGTGTTGGTCCGCACGGACAACACTGTGACTGTTTCGTACATCAACCGACATCGTGTCGCATGTCACAACTCGCCCGCCTCCTCCTCCTATGGAGTCAGACGCGGCTCAAATCTCTGCGCCGTCCACATTCTGGGGGAGCTGAATCATTCAGCCAACGCGCTCTCACGACAACTCACGTTCCCCGGAGAATGGCGACTCCATCCTCCAAACAGTCCAGCTGATTTGGAGTCGATTCGGGGAAGCCCAGGTAGACCTGTCTGCTTCCCACGAGTCCTCCCACTGCCAGCTGTATTACTCCCCGAACGAGGCCCTTCTCGGCACAGATGCACTGGCCCACAGCTGTCCTCAGGCTCTACACAAGTATGCGTTTCCCCCAGTGAGCCTTCTCGCACAAACACTGTGTCTGGGAGGATGAGGAACAGGTCTTGCTGGTTGCACTTTACTGGCCCACCCGGACCTGGTTTTCGGAACTCACACTCCTCGCAACAGCCCCTCCCTTGCGCATCTCCCTGAGGAAGGACCTCCTTTCTCAGGGGCACGGCATGCTATGGCAACCGTGCCAGGATCTTTGGAATCTCCACGTGTGGCTCCTGGACAGGACCTAAGCGGTCTGCCACCGGCAGTGGTATACACCATCACTCAGGCTAGAGCTCCCTCTACGAGGCAAGCCTATGCACTGGCATGGAGTCTGTTTGTGAACTGGTGTTCTTCTCGCCAAGAAGACCCCCGAAGATGCACGATTGGAGTAGTGCTTTCTTTCCTGCAAGAAAGCGTAGGCTGTCACTCTCCACCTTGAAAGTGTATGTGGCTGCTATCGCAGCACATCACGATG